TCCCCAGTGCTGTGCATCGTCGGGGGCTGGCAGTGGGGTGTGGGGGGCGTTGGGGCTTTGCCTTCCCAGTGCTGCGAGGTGGGAACAGCATGTGCAAAGCAGCCAGCACCGGCTCCACAAACGTGTTAAACAGCTGATGTCAGTTGGCAACCAGTTTGCGTAGAAAGATTAGAAGAGGCAAATCCTTTGAAGAGCAACCCTTTTGTATTAATAGGAAAAAATGCTCCTTGTCCCATGCTAGCCCAGTCAGGGGAACCCAGAGCCCATGTGTGCAACACAGGCAGGGAACCTCTGCTTTGCTTCTCTGCTGATAATTTGGGAGGACAACAGCCTGCCTTTTTTCACTGTAGGTTCATTTTAATTGCAACTTAAGAAGAGTGTATTTTAACCCCTGTGGTGCAGACAGGTCCCGAGGGGGGCTTCTCTGGGTGGCGTGGGGCATGGGCCCTCCTGCGGGTCCTGCTGCAGGAGGTTGTCGGAGGAGTGGTTGCTGCACGGCCAAGGCATGCAGCGTGTGCTGCTCTGCTGGGAACCGAGGTGAACCGTGTGTGATCAAAATACACATGGAAATAAAAATACCCTGCCTGCAAGAGCAGCTGGAGGGCCTGGGCTGAGCGTGGAGCCAGAGCAAAGAGGGGCAGCCCTGGAAAAGGAACAGCTCGGCATGCTGGTGTGCGTCTAATCCTCAGTTTTCATGGGCATTGCCCGCAGGTGAGTTTTCCCTTACAAGCTCTTGGGTGGGGATATTTTGCCAATCCGTGGGAGCGCGGCGTGTTCTCGTGGCCCCGTTTGGGGCCGTGGTGTGGAGTAGCAGCGGGACGGTGTCGTTTGGGACCTCCTGCCGTGCCGTGGCGTAGGGAGCTGCTGGGGGCAACCCGCCGTGATTCATGGCACATCATCGCGGGAGGAGGCGGCGAAGCTGAATCAGCGGTGCCTGAGGACGGGCGCGGGAGCGTGAGTGGCTCCAGCCCCCTTGTTTTCTCCGATGTTTTCCTTCCTTCCTCGCACCCACCCGCCTTCACTGTGCTTGGCGTGAGATGATGGGGAGAAAATTCAGCTCGAGATGCTGCCAAGCAAACCAGACAGAGCCCCCAGCCCTTTCATTTGAGCTGAAGCTTGTTCTCGACAACCGAGGGGAGCAGCAGGGTTGGCCGGAGCCCGCTTGGTTTGCAGCCTCATTTCTTGCACCCCAAAGGTGGCTTGCCCAGGTTTGGGTTTGCCGGCTGGGTGCTGTTCCCCTGCAGACACCCTGACGTGCTGTTTGGTTTTCAGGGTTTGTCTTTCAAGGGTGGTGAAAAGCCCAGAGCTGCTGCGGGAGCCCGGGAGGAGCCTTTGCTGCTTGGGGGGGTCCCAAGCACGTAGGAGCAGGGCTGCACAGTCTGATGATGAGGCTGGTTTTGGAGCCCTCAGCTTGAGGGTTTTAGTGAGGCTAATGAGTGTGTTTAGCTTAACTAATTTCTCTCACAGTGTGTAGTGGCTCCTGGGGGAGCTGGGCTGAGCCAAGGCACAGGATGGCAGCAAACGCCGTCTGCCGAAGTCTCGGAGGTGTCAAACTACTACAAGGAGAGATGAAATGCGTCTCAAAGCTGAATTTTCTCCCTAATTACAATGGAGTGGCCTTTTCCCTGCTCTCTCTCCTTTCCTGTGGGCAGGTGGCCCCGTGGGACACTGAGATGGGGTGGTGCAGGGCTCTGGGGTGGCACGGGTCTCCTGACTGTCCTGTGTCCCACGTGGTGTCAAAGGGATGCCTGGACGCCTGCTCTGATGATGAGAGTAGGTTTGGAGACCTGCGGAGGTAACACCCAAAGCACCTAACTGCTGTAAAGGGAAATGTGTGTAACTCCTCTGAGTGTGAAACCTGGGTTTGCTCCGAGGAGGTGGCTGGGCCCCCTCTGCAGCGCTGCCCTTGTGCCCTGTTCTGGGGACACTTGTGTAACTCGGGGATCCAGTTACTGCCCGCTGCTGGGCTCAGCTGCTGCCCCCGTGCCGGAGCCCTCCGCTCCAGAGAGAGCAAGCAGGTAGTGCAACGTTTCCCATCTGAAATAATGAAGAGTTCGATCTCCAAGGAGCCCTCCCTTGGAAGGGAATAGGAGATAAGAGACATCAAAGCTGAAGTGAGAGGAGCTGTGGGTCGTTGGGGGTTTCCATCAGGTTGTCCGTCTGCTGCCATCTCCCCTCTGCGAAGGGTTAACTCTGGTCGTTCTCCAGATTGCTGCGGCTGCAAAATCTCCTGCTCCTGAAGCTGTTCAGAAGCTGGTGGGAGGGGACGTTGTCCCCAGGTTGGGACCCTCAGCTGGGGTGGCATGGGGACAGTTCACTCGTGCTGAACCTCAGGGAAACACAAGGTGCTTTTCCCATCCCAGCGTCCTCACTGCAAGCCAAGAAACATATTGCCGTGGCCGTAGGCTGCCCTGGATACCAGAGCTAAATCAGGGACCAGGGCAGTGTCACCATACACCCCCAAATACATTCAATGTGGAGTTCCTGTGACCGGAGCAATGCCTGTCATGCCAGGACGTCACCCACTGATGGTTTCACTGCTGACTGGGGCCGAGGAGGGAGCGGGAGGGCAAGTCATCAGCTGCAGAAGCTGTTGGCCTCCACCTGAAGAGGAATAACCAGTGGAAATGCTGCTCTTGCCCCGCCTGGAGAAGGACCGGCCTGTGCTGTCCCACCCCTGCGCCGTGCTCGGCACATCCCCGGAGGGTGGGTGCTTTGTGCTGAGGGCAGGACAGCAGTTGCATGCCTCTGGGTTGCTTCTACCGTGCTTTGGGCATCGCCACATCCCTCCTGCATCCCCCTGCAGTGGTAATGGCCTTCCCCACGCCGCCTCATTGCATCCGGCCTTCAGCTCCCCGCTGTCACCCGCTGCCGGGAACATTGCCTAAATAGACCAAATTATTCTCTTAATGAGGCTTAGCCTGCTCCTCTCCCAACCGAGCGAGCAGGCTCTCCATCCTGCGGCGAGCGGGGGGAGCCTGGCTGGTGCTGTGGCTGAATGGCAGCTCTTTGCTCACCGGTGGTGCCCGAGCACAAAAGCAAACATCAGGGTTGTGCTGGTACAGGTAATGGAGGCTGCTGCCTCCTAGTTCATTAGAAACACAATTAAGCTCCTTTAAAAGCACGCTGAGTGGCCTCTAAAAATTGGATATATATTTCTGTACATCTCCTGTTTGTCTTGTGCAGAATGATGTTAACAGTCTGCTTCCTGCTGTTCAATTTTCTCAGCGCGTAATTACAAATTGTTTTGTTGTTGTGTTTTTTTTTTTTTTTTTTTTCTCTCCAGCTTCCTGGCTCCCCACGCCAGGCTCTTTTGGAGCGGAGCTGCAAATAACCAAGCTTTTCTCCAGTCCCCTTCCCTGCCTGCGTGGCTGCTGAGGGGGCTGGTGCTACGCTTATGGCTTCAGCAGGATCTGGTTTTTAGGGTAATTAAGCAACAGAAGAGCAAGGAGGGGCTGTCCAACCGCCTGCCCTGTCTTCCTTTCGCCCCAAGGCTATTGGCACAAATGATGTTGAAGGGCTCTGCAAGGGGTGGTTTGGCCACTTTGGTCTTCACTGAGCTTCCAGATGATTTGGTGCCACGAGACCCCCCCCCACTTCATCCACTGGCCCAGATTTCCTCCGCCTCAGGAAGCAGGAGAGCCAAGGAGGTGGGAAAGGTGTGACCAAACACCCCAAAATCAGGGTTACAGGTGGGCAGCTGAAGTGTGCATCCTGCTTGTCCCTTTCCTGGTGGCAAAGGACTCGTGCTGTCACAGGCAGGAGTGCAAATTGCCGTTACTCTGCCAGGGCTCACATGAGCCCCGTCAGCGCGCGTTTCATTTATAAACAAGCAGCGTGTGTCTTCTGGGGGTGGCAGCAAGCAGTAACCCTGGTTCTTGTGAAATCCCCCCTCTAGCAGAGGGGTCCTGGCCACGGACTGGGCACTGCTTCGGGTGCATCCCCGGGGCTGACGTTCCTCCGCTTGCCGGCTGGGCGCTCTCCTTCGCCCAGCTGCCCCAGGAGCTCGGCTGGGAGAGGGCAGAAGGGCAAGAAGTACATTTCTGTGTCTGTCTTGGTAAAATGACCAAACCTGCTGTTTCCTGCCGATGCACAGGGGGTGGGGATGGGTTTCCATGTGCCCCTGCACCGAGGTGAAATCCTGCTCCGGGGCGTTTCACCGAGCCCGGCCCTAAGAGCTGACGGAGACAGGAAGGAAAATGATCTGTGCTCAAGATAGATACGTTTGTTGCTCTATATTTAGGAGTATAATAATTAAGGCTGGTTGTTTATCCTGACAAACATGGTAATTAATAGTCTGTGGCAGCCGAGAAAATCCTTCCTGCACCTGGGAGCTGTGAGTTGTCTCTGGGAAAGGCAGGGGCCTCATTAAAGAGTTGCTGCTTCTTGTGAGAAAAGCTGCTATTTAGGGAACATCTGGCTGCTTTGTCCCCTCCCCAGGCACGTGTGGCGAGGTGCTGGTGGCCTCTGAAACCACGGTGAGGCCACTTCTGTGCCCAGCCTGGGTGTAAGGGCACAGAGCAGGAGGGTCCTGCCCATCCCATGGGGCAGAATGGGAGGTGATGAGTGGGCAGGGCTGCGAAGAGGAGGGAGAGGGTGCTCGGTGGCACCCAGGGGTGCAGTGGTGCAGGTACTGGCGTGCAGAAGCTGGCCACTCAACGCGGTAGGAAGTCTTGCCGGCTGGTGGCACAGGCTGGCTGGGCACCCAGGAGGCGTTCCAGAGGGCCGGGAGGGTGGCAGGCAGCTGGGATAAGTTTTTACCAGCCTTGGGAGGGCAAGAAGCTTATGAGCGCGGGCGGCTCCGCGCTCTTCCCACTAGATGGGGATGAAGGCATTGCTCAGAGCGTGCCGGAGCTCGCCTCGATGCTGCCCGCAGAGAGCACCCGCGCTCGGCCTTCGCCCCCGGCGTTGTCTCCGGGTGGGCGCTGTGCCAGTGGGGTGTCAGGGCCCGGCTCTCCTGGGGGGGCTCGGGGCTGATGGGGGTCTCGCTTCTCTCGCAGATGCTGCAGGACTGCCCGAAGGCCCGCAGGGAAGTGGAGCTGCACTGGAGGGCATCGCAGTGCGCGCACATCGTCCGCATCATGGACGTCTACGAGAACCTCTACCAGGGGAGGAAGTGTCTGCTCATCGTCATGGAGTGGTGAGTCCCCGGTGCCACCGCTGTGGGTGGCCTCTCCCTGCCAGGGCACCCACAGCCCTGCGCGACGGTGGGGTGATGCCAAAAGGAGGGGGGGGGGGAGCACCTTCCTGCACCCCTGCCAGGGTGCTGGGGACCCCGGGGAGATGCTGTGCTGGGGGGATGCAGCCTGCGAGCTGTAGGGATGCGAGCCCTGGAAGAGGTGCTGCACCGCTGGCGTTGGAGGGACGGCAGGAGCCGCGCTGGCTCTGAGTCATTCTGAAAACTCGCTCGGCTGTCGGGAGGCTTCGGGCCTGTGGTTCTCGCTGCAGATAAATCATAACCAAACTCGCTTTGGCCATTGAAAGTCGGGGTAGTCAACGGGTTCCTGGCACCCCAGCAGCCTGCGGTGGGGTCCGCCGGGCAGCGTGCAGCCAAGCCATGCTGACACGTCTATTCGTGCCGTTTACACCTCTTGCAGCAGCAGTTGGGTGACTCTGATTCGGGTAGATGTTTGATATAACCTGGGGAGGAGGAGGAATGAAGGGGAAAGTATTGAAACCACATCCCAACCGCAGCTGTGATTTGATGCAGCTTCCTTGCCAAAACCTCTCCTCTGGCAAGCCGGTAGGTTGCCTGGGGGGGCAGCGGGTGCGAGGACGGCGGTGAGCAGCACCGGGGCAGGCGGCACGGCGGCCGCCCGAGCCGCTCGCGTGTGGGAAGAGGCTTCTGAGAACCGTGCCGGGACACTGGGCAGCCGGGGATGGGGAAGGTTTGTGCGGCGCATCTGCTTGCGTGGGAAGAAAGCGGTAGCTGTAGTAGGAAACAAGCCCCGGGGGCAACGCCGGCTCCCCGCAGCGTGTCTGCGTGACGGGTCCCCACCGTCCGAGGGGTGCTCTGGGGGCGATGCCCGTCACGAGGCAGCGTTTGACTTTCAGCGTGCGTCTCCTCGCACGCTCCGTGCAGCAGGTCGCCCCGCTCAGGTGGCCAGCAAATGGCTCTGGCAGGAGATCCCATCTGCGCTGGGAAAGCCAGGAGCCATTCCTGCTCCAGTTAGATAAGGCAGGGACAGCAAGTGCCGTTATCCCTGTTCTCATGGAGAATTATCCCTGATCTCACTGCACTGGGAAAGCCAGGAGCCATTCCTGCTCCAGTTAGATAAGGCAGGGACAGCAAGCGCCGTTATCCCTGTTCTCATGGAGAATTATCCCTGATCTCACCCCTGATCTCTCTGGGAGCTGAGGTTTTTCCTTCGGGTACCCGGGGAGGGAAGAGTGCCACGGTCCTTCTCCAACGCCTTAGGGGTTCAGGCTCTGCCTCCCCCCATCCCTTCAGGGAGCCCATCCCAGTGCCGCTGACACCTCGCCCGTGCCGCGATCTCTGCTCAGCACTTCTGCACGGGGTTGGCGTGCCGGCGGGGTGGTTGGTTTGCGAGCTAAACGAGGCCCAGGCGTGCCGGGAGCGCTCTCGCCGCGTTCCAGCCACGTTCGCTGTATTTACTGTAAACGCGTCTCTGTGGGCTGGTGGGGAGACCACGTCCGCTCGCACCCGGCGTCGCCCGCTGCCAGCGCGAAGCCTCTGCCCTGCTCATTTCTGGAAGGAGGAGGCTCTGAAACGCCCTGTGCCCAGAAGCACCGACACCTTACACCGCCTGCTTCTCTTCCAGCTTGGACGGTGGGGAGCTCTTCAGCCGGATTCAAGACAGGGGAGACCAGGCCTTCACAGAACGGGGTACAGAGCCCATGGGGACCTGGGGTTTCATCTTTGGCCCATTTCTTGCTGTTTCTAAGAGCATCTCTGGTCCTATTCATTCCCTCAATTTCTTTTTTTTTTTTTTTTGAATCCCCAGCAGGGTTTTGCTCTTAGGGAATGAGGAATGTGGGTGCGAGTGGCCCTGCTTTTCACACTCACTTGAGAGCAGGGATATGGGGGATGTTTTCTCAGCTGCCCCTGAGTTTTGTCCACCCCACTCCAGCACAGGCAGGAGCTTCAGTGACCTTCAGCAACACCCACCCTCCTCCAAAAAATGGAGACCAGGTCCTGTGGTTCTCACGAATCTTATCCCCTCTGCTCCTGTGGCCAGAAAAAGTGTCCACACAACCCAAACCCTGAGCCCATTGCTCCCGCACCCCATGGGGGACAGCTTTCCCAGCTGGTTTCCCTGTGGATTCGGAGTTCCTAGTGGTGCTGGGGGCAGGGGCAGCCCCCCCACCCCAGAGCAAGCCCCTCCTTGGGGCTTGTGCAGTTGGGGATTGGGATCAGCGGCTGGAGCCTGCCCTGTCCCCCCTCCTGGGAGTTTCTCTTCCATTTGCTGCAGGCTTCTGACCCAGGGATGGGTGCTGGATGGGGGGGCTTCTGCTTGGAAAGGGGGACTTTGGGTAGAGGAAACCCCTTTGGCTTCAGCCATGCTCTTTGACTTCTGGTTTGTAGAGTAACCTGGGGAGTGGTGCTCAGTGCAACTTGCTTGTAAAGGCTTCTGATGTTTTTTGTGTTTTTTTTTTTGCTGCTCCAGAGGCTTCAGAGATTATGAAGAGCATTGGGGAAGCCATCCAGTACCTACACTCGATCAACATTGCACACCGGGACGTGAAGGTACCATGCTGCATGCCCTCCCGGTGGTGCTGAGCCCCGCTTGGCCCGTGGCAATGCCAAGGCTGCTCCGGCTCTTCTGCTCACTTCTTCCCTGTGTTTTCACAGCCGGAAAACCTCTTGTACACCTCCAAAAGGCCCAATGCTGTGTTAAAACTCACGGACTTTGGCTTTGCTAAAGAAACCACCACGCACAACTCCTTGGCCACTCCGTGTTACACGCCCTACTACGTGGGTAAGTGGCTGGGCGGGGGGGTCAGAGCTTGCAGGTTTGCAGGGCTGGAGGGCAGAGCCGGGAGGTTTGGACGGTGCCCATCACCTCTGCATCCAGCCCGGAGCCTCTGTCGCGGTGTGGCCTTGGGGATGAATGCTGTCTGGGGCGCTTGGGACTGGGGGGTTGCTTTGGGTGCAGGTGGGTGCTGCTGAGGCCCGTGCAAGCAGCACTCGCAGTGCTCTGAGCAGGGCTGCCGAGCCTGCACGGAGCTGCCGGCACCTCTCCGGCAGCTCCTGGGGATGCTCCGGTCCCTCTCGCCTGGCGCTGCCGCTTGGACTCAGGACTTTCTTTCTCCCTTTACCAGCCCCGGAGGTGCTGGGCCCGGAGAAGTACGACAAGTCCTGCGACATGTGGTCCCTCGGTGTCATCATGTACATTCTGTAAGTGCGACGGGGTCCCTCTCCATCCCACCGGCGTCAGAACAGGGCAGGGGATGCAGGTTTTGAGCTCATTCCGGGGGCTGGTGGGGCTGAGCCTTTCCCAGCTGCACTGCTCCGGCTCCTGGCACGGCCCCGTGCCCCATGGGTGCTGCTGGGGGGGCTTTTGGGGTGACACATTGATGCTCTGCTCCCTCTCCCCATGCAGGCTGTGTGGGTACCCCCCCTTCTACTCCAACCACGGCCTGGCCATCTCGCCCGGCATGAAGAAGCGAATCCGAATGGGCCAGTATGAGTTTCCCAATCCTGAATGGTCCGAAGTGTCGGAGGAAGGTAAATGTTTGTCCCCAGGCTGAGGCGTCCCTCTGGGGTCAGCCCCGTGTCCGGCAGCGCTGCCAAGGTTGGGGGAAGCCTGAGCATGTCGTGGGTCACCTCTCGGTGATGTGGCAGCTTCACCTCTTTGCTCGAGAGGCTTTTGCTGAAGGGTTCGACCAGGGTGAGGTCTGTGGCACGGAGGGGACAGGAGGTGCACGTATTTTGGGGTTGCTGGCTCAGGTTGGAGAGTGGGGAGAGCTCCCCCCCCCGGGACCTGCTAATGCCTGGCCCTGCACAAACCCTTCCAGTTAAGCAACTGATCCGCAACCTGCTGAAGACGGACCCGACCCAGCGCATGACGATAACGGAGTTCATGAACCATCCCTGGATCATGGTGAGGGTGGGGTTGATGGGGCAGAGGGATGGGATGGGGGTGAGGATCAGGGTGGGGATGGGGCAGGGATATAGGGGTGAGGCTGGGGATGAGGATGGGGCAGGGATATAGGGGTGAGGATGGGGATGAGGGTGGAGATGGGATGGGGGTGAGGATCAGGGTGGGGATGGGGCAGGGATATAGGGGTGAGGCTGGGGATGAGGATGGGGCAGGGATATAGGGGTGAGGATGGGGATGAGGGTGGAGACGGGATATAGGGGTGAGGATGGGGATGAGGTTGGAGATGGGATGGGATGAGGACGGAGCAGGGATGGAGATGAGGCTGGGGGTGAGGAAAGGGCAAGGATGAGGGTGAGGCTGGTGATGGGATGGGGCAGAGCTGGGCGTGAGGGTGAGGAAGGGACAGGGATATGGGGGTGAGGCTGGGGATGGGGCAGGGATGAGGATGAGGATGGGGCAGGGATGGGACAGCATGCCTGCAGCTCCCAGCTCACGCTCCTCCCCTCTCCCGGCAGCAATCCATGCAGGTGCCCCAGACCCCACTGCACACCAGCCGCGTGCTGAAAGAGGAGAAGGATCTGTGGGAGGACGTGAAGGTAAAACCTCTCTCCGTTGCTGTCTGAAACACGCTGCACCCCGGGAGCCCTCTGGGGACCCTTCGCTTCTGCCTTCTCACTGCAAACCGGGCTAATTGGGGCGAGCGTGCTGGCTCCCGGGGAGATTTGTGCTCGGGATGGGGCTGGAAAAAATTTAGCGGTGGGATGCTCATCCCCTGCTGCAGTTTGCTCCCACGGAGGGGGGACAGCTTGCCGCGGGGGTGCGGGGGGCTGTGGGCTGTGCCTGCCCAGGGCTTCGCTGACGGCGCTGCCTGTGCCTCCTGCCCGCAGGAGGAGATGACGAGCGCGCTGGCCACCATGCGAGTGGACTACGAACAAATCAAGATCAAGAAAATCGAAGATTCCTCGAACCCTTTGCTAATGAAGAGGCGGAAGAAAGCAAACCCCACCGAGCCTGCCGCGCTCCCCCACTGAGGGTGCCCTGCGCCCGCCAGCCCTTGAGAAAGCAATAACTATATATATATATTTTTTAAGAAAAAAGACAAAAAGAGACAGACTGTTATATCAAGCGCATGGAATTCCGACATTTATACCAGACTAGTTATTTTTAGCTACTCACCTGTGTTTCTGACCTTTCCGGAGCAGGGGGTAAGATCCCCCTGTCAGATCAACACGCTGCGGCTGGGGGTTTTGTCCTGTAGGTGAATGCCGCCGATAATTGGATTTTTTTTTTTTCTTTTGTGAAACAGTTTTGATTCTTATGTTGTTTTTTTCTTTTTTTTTTTCTTTTTTTTTTTTTCTCTTTCCTTCCTTCCAAAAACATGGAAATTCCTGTGGTGACCTTTTTAGGGTATATAACATATAAATATTTTTTAAAAACTACTGTAGAGCTGAAACCCAGACAGTGTGTTCCCTGCGTGGATGCCGGCTAGAGATGGGCTTCGGGCTTGGGAGCGGGTCAGGGAGGACGGGGAAGGAGAGCTGCCTTCTCCCCAGTCCCGCAGTGCGTGGCAGGGCTGGCGTGGGGCATCCCTGTGGCCACTGTGCTTCTTTGCTGGCCTGGAAAAGTGCTGCTTTTAAAGCACGGTAGGCAAAAACCACCCCCCCCCCCAAGCCCCCCCTGACCTGGAAGCCTTGACTCTACCCGGCGCAGGGCTCCCCACGAGCACCGTCTGTGTCGCTGTCTGTCTGTGCGTGGGGTGTGTGTTGTGTCCGTGGGTGCGGAGCTGCTCGTGGCTCTCCCCCCGCCGTGGCCACCACAGTCTGTACCTGTGCCTGGAATCCAGTTCTGACCTCAGGGGGGGGCCGGGAGGAGGGGGGGTGTGGGGGTGTAAGCAGGAGGTCAGTGCCCCCCCGCTCTGTAGGGATGTGGGGAAGAGATGAAGAGATGCTTCCCCCACCACCTCTGCAGCCCCCCAGCTCCGGGGGAGATGCTGTCCTGGGGGTCCCTGAGGAAAAGCGGGTGGCACGGGGCTTTAGCTTGAGCCAGGGTGGCAGCACTGTCCCCTCCTTGGCTGGGTCTGGGGGTCGTGTTGTCCCCCCCACAGTGTGGCTCCTGCCGGGGGGGCTGCTCCTCCCGCCAGCTCCCAGGGGGGCTGGGAGTGATCCTCCGCTCCTGGGAGCAGGACGACTGCTCTGAAGTCTTTAGTCCATGAATTATTATTATTATTATTTGTTGCAATGTTTCACTGCGTTAAATGTGTTTGAATGGGGAAAAAAATTTTTTTTAAGGCAATGTTTAGTTATTAGGTGATCTTTTAGACACTGTATGGAATCTTAATTTGTTCTGGAAACCAGTTTTTATCCCCCTTTTTTTTTTTTATTTTTTTTTTTATTTTTGTCTGTTGGCTTATACTAATCTTCCCGGTCTGCTCTTCAGTCCTTTGGATTAAAGACACTTAATGCGTCACCCAGTCTCTCCTCCTTGCTTGCGTGGCTGCGAAGAAACACCCCAGCGCTCCAGGCTGGGCCGCTACTCTCCTGATGTCTTGAAAATGCTTTTTTATTTTTTTTTTTCCCACCGAAAAGGCTGAGCTCCCCCAGGTTGCTCTCTGGGGACTCCGCGTTTTGGGGTCTCACAAAAATCCCTTTGCTTGGGACTCCGTGTCTGTCCCGGCTGCTGCAAATCGAGTTTCCTCCCCAGCATGTGTGTCCCCATCCTGGCCCGGGGCCGTGGGGCCGTGACCGTGGCCGTGGGTGCTGCGCCCGGGTGCCGGCAGGGGGAACTGCACCTCCGGCATCGCAGCCCGGCGGTGGGTGCTGGGACACGCGTGGCCCCGGGCTGCCACCGGCCCCGCGGTCACCTCTGCGCTGGCAGCCCCGGGGTGCACGGCGGGTGCTGCGCTGGGGCTACTGGGAGCTGCTGGGAGCCGCTGCTCGTGCCAGTGCCGGCTGCCGTGTCTGCAGGAGAGGAGGAAGTGGTGAGATCCCGAGGTGCCTTCATCACCCTCCTCCTCCTCCTCCCGCTCTTGGTGATGAAGCAGTGGAGGGGCGGCTGGGGTGGGCAGTGCAGGGGCTGTGGAGCGGCTCGGATGGGTCCTGGTGGGTCGTTTGACTCCAAACTGTCACTTCTCTGCTTCCTGCATGTGGGGCTTTTCCCTGGGGGGCTCGGGCTCTGAGCCCCGGGGTGGGGACCCCCGAGCATCCCCCCCGGGGCGACTTTGCAGCCCCTGAGCCGGCGGGAGCACAGCTCTCTGGGCACTGGGCCGGCAGGAGCACAGGAGCGCTGCCCACGAGCTTTGCCAAACCGCAGAGCAGGAAGGCGTGATACGAAGGGCTTTATCTGATTATTTGTTTCATTATTTCGTGCTTAGAGCCGGGTTACTTTTCTTTTCGCTCCGACTGATGGAGCCATGCTCTCCAGCGGCGCGGGCTGAACGAGCCTCGTGCTGCTGCTGCTGCCAGAGCTGCCGAAACCTCTCCCTCAACCCAGCTGCAGGTTTTTTGCTTCGCCTGCGGCATCCCGGGTATCTCAGAACTCCATGAGATCCCTGGGGTGAAGCAGCTGGCGGTTCCGCCCCGGCACGTCCTGGGATGGGGCAGTAAGTGCTGGGGATGGGGCCATAGGGAGGGTAGTGCGTTTGGGGGGGGAGGGGGGGGTGTCTCCCAGTCTTTCTTCCCCCACTGGAAAGGGTCCTGGTGTGCCAGGTGCCTCTGAGCCTCTTGGGGGATATAAAAATGGGGGGTGGGTTGTGGACCCCACGATGCAGGTTGGCTGCAACTGGGCTGTGGGGCAGATGATGCAGGTTTTGGACCAGCCAGGGTGAGTCGGAGCGGGTGCCCCAATCCCCCCCCAATCCCCAGTTGCTGGGGGCTCCTTTGCTCAAACCACATCATCAGCTCTGTCTCTTGCTGGGTTTAATGGTGTTGATGGGATGCAATAGGCTTTCCTCTCCCCACCTGCAGGAGCGCCCAGAGGTGTTTGCAATCTACATTTGGGTGAAATTCAGTCTGAATCCACTCCAACGCTCGCTCCCATGCCAGCGGGTTTGGAGTGCTGCACCAGAGCCCGGGGCTGTGTCCGGCGGTTCGTGCGGGACCCCCACTGCTAACGGCAGAGCAAGACTGGTCCCAGGATCTTCCCCAGCATCTCCCCAGTTCCGAGCAGCTCATCCAAGCCATCGCTTCGAGCGTTTCTTGGCCTGGAAGGACCCTGCGTTGGCCCAGGTAAGCCTTGCTCACCCTGCCAGGCTGCACGGGGAGCTGCGGCTCCACACAGCCCCTGTCCTGGTGCAGGAGAGCTGCGTTGCATGGACAGACCTTTTCTGTAGGTCCTACTGCTTTTTCCTTCGTGCCTTTGCTTTAAGTGTCTCTCCACTGAAGTCAGCCTTGTGACCTCTTGCTGCTGCTGTTGAAATGGTTCCCTCCAGCTTGCACAGGGCAAGTTTTGAGGCACCAGGACAGGAACCGATGTGCAGGTGGTGGTGGGGAAGGGGACAGCACCAGCCCCCAAAGGACCTGGAGCTTCAGCCTCATCCAGCAGCTGCAGGTCCCAAGGCAGTACATGGCTCTGCTCCCTTCTTGCAAGTCTGGCCCCACAAGTCCTAGGTTTCTCCACGTGCCTCGACTCCTGATGACCTTGGTTTACCAGGGGCTTGCTCTGTTTCTTGATAAACGAAATTGGTTTTTTGTTTTTTCTTTCTTTCTTTTTTTTTTTTTTTTTTCTACTTTCTTTTATTTTTCCCCTCCCTGTTACCTATGGTGTTTGGCTGAGCCCAGCACAGGGTGCTGCCAGGAGGGGTGCGGGCAGGAGCAGCAGCTCGGAGGGAGCATTTCCCTACGGCGACTCTGCAGGTGCCACGTGGCAGCTTCCAGCCGCAGCCGTGCGCTGGCAGCACGGTAAAGCTGTCGGCACATGCTGTGGTTTGGAGATGCACTGACTGAAAAGCTTTTGTCTATTTCAAGAAGTTGGCAAAATGCTACCACTGTGCAGTGGTGGTTGCATGATGTGTAACGCGAGAGGCTGAAAGTGGAACTTGGAGCTGCTGGGGTCCTGAGCTGAGCAGCCTCTGCCTGATGCAAACCCGCCCCTTTGCACTGACGAATGCTTAAACAAGCACTTTTTACACGCTGGTCTCTGGTAAATGGCTTGATGTTGCATCTGTCAGGTGGAAACATTCAAGTTGTCTTAGAAAAGCCTGCTAGGCTGCATCTCTTTACAGTGCTTTCAATGCATTTGCAAAACCTGACGTTGTGCAGGCTTGGAAGAACTGCAGTCGGTGCAAATTTGCTGGTGTAGTTGGTGGGACACGGGGAGCACCAGTGGCCCCAGCCCTGTGGGACCCCTCACCCCGAGCATCCTGCATCGCCTCTGGTGCACTGTTCCGGAGATTTTTATGCTGTGGCTGCCACGATGGCCCCCAGTTGCCTGCAGTTACAGGCTGGGGGCTGTAAACTGGAGCTGTGGGGTCTGTGCTGAGCGGCTGGCACAGCACCCCTAAACCGAAGTCCCATCTTTGCCTTAACTGCAAGGATAAACCCTCTTGGGTGGAGGGTGCAGGGTGGCACGCTGCTTCTTTTGCTTAAGAAGGTGTTTGAACGCTGGGGTGTGGGCAGTGATGGCACCGACTGTGTGACAGTCGGGCAGGGAAGGCTTTGGGGCATTTGACCTATTCCTGGTGGGTACGTGGGGTGCCCTGAGACGTGCTGCTGTGGGATGGTGCCGTGCAACTGGGCAGGAAGGAACAAAATCAAATCCCACAAAGGTGCTGTGAGAGGAGACCTGGAGACGGATGAGAAAAGAAGCTTCAACAACCTCTTCTAATCCCACTTGCAAAAGCCAAGCAGGGAGGAGTTGTGTCTTTAGCTGCCAAGTTCCAAAACAGTGAGCTAATACCTAAAACCCCAACTGTAAATCATGTCTGTTTGCACGATGCCCTTCACTCTACCCAAGTGGAAATGTGGACTGTACAAATATGTGCAGCGCTGAGAGGTGTGAAGCACAGGCAGATTTTTCCAGGGGCTCAGCCCACAGCTGACACTAGGTCTGACGAGCTTGTGCAGGTTCAACGTTTTGGAAAAAAAAGCCTTTCTAAACAAACGTAATCCTAGTACCAAAACCCTGAGGCTGTCTCGGGGGGCGGTGGGCTGAGGTTCAGGTTTCCTTTATTACTGAGAGCCTGTTCTGGAAACCACAGTGCTTACTGACACAAATCTCAACTCTAGTGGGAAGATTTGCAGCTTGAAACGTTTTCTGCCTGTGTTTGGGGGGGGAGAGAAGAGCAGAGTGGAGCTGGCACTGATGGCCACCCAGCCACTCGTGCCACCTGCCCAGGGCAGGGGATTGCTCCCAGGGGTGCACAACCCCCCCCATTTCGGCACTGGTATTGAAACCAGTAGCGGAGAACAGGTCTCCCAAGGGTGGACCTGCTGGGACCTCCTGCGTGTCCCGGCTCCGGGAGAGGAAGGGGTGGGCATGGTGTCACCCCTCTCCACCCACCGCTTCTCCCTCCTGCCCCAGCAGAAATCTCTCTTTGGAGGGGCCGTGCGCTCACTGCAGCATGCCAGACTCTTTCTTTCTGTCACTGCTTTCATAGTGTCTGGCTAGGTGGATAAAAACAGAGGTCTGTTTTCTGTAAAGCTGTTGATACTAAAAGGAATAGCTGGGTTTGTGTGGGCGTTGGGTGAGAACAAAGACTTACTCATGCAGGGTGATATTCTGTTGCTTTAGGTTTGAAAGCAAAATTTTTAGACAGATTTGTTCACAAGGCAATGTAAATAAATAGGTTGAAGAACAGAGGAGAGGGCAGCTATGAGCTAGGGGAATGCTTGGTGCCATTTGCTTGCCGGTATCAGGTGAGGATAAAGAAAGCAGTGTGAAAGAATCTTGTTTTGTTTGGGGGAGATGAGACCGATGCTACACCTTGTGCTTGGGAAAAAACACTCAAAGGGGAGCCAGGATATAAAATCTTTGAATAAGGTGCTGGTGTGGGACACATGAGAGATGATGTCCACGAGCCTTTGCAAGCCCTGCCAGCTGCGGTGGGAGCGGAGTACGGAAACCTGGGGCTGTGGGGCAGGGGCAGCATGGGGATGCTCTGGGCAGGGCTGGGGCCAGGGAAGCAAGTTTGGATTTCTGAGCCCCCAATGCCCCCCCCCCCCCCATGAGTGTGTGCCCCCTTTCACCTCCCCAGACCCACAGTACAGGCATTCTGGGCTCTCGGTGCAGGGTGAAGTCCTCACACAGGATATATCTGAGCCTTCTGATATGGGTGGATCCCACGTTACCTTATGACCCAGCTAAGTACTGCCACTGGTGTCGTTTCACAGTGACATTACCAGTTCCATTTAGCAGATGGGGTTTTGTAGCTCCCGGGCTGGCAAAGAGGATGCATCCGCATGGGGGGAAAAGCAGGTAAGCTGCTCTGCTTCCCCTGGGCTTTATCGCATCGGAGCTCGCTCCCCTGGGGA